TGTGGCATTGCTTGTAGCAATGCTTGTGGCACTGATAGCACTGCTTGTAGCACTGCTTGTGGCACTGTTAGTAGCACTGCTTGTGGCATTGTTTTTAACACTGCTTTTGGCATTGCTTGTAGCACTGCTTGTGGCATTGCTTGTAGCACTGCTTATAGCACTGCTTGTAGCACTGCTTGTGGCATTGTTTGTAGCACTGCTTGTGGCACTGTTAGTAGCACTGCTTCTAGCACTGCTTGTAGCACTGCTTGTGGCACTGCTTGTGGCATTGCTTGTAGCACTGCTTGTGGCACTGTTAGTAGCACTGCTTGTAGCACTGCTTGCAGCATTGCTTGTGGCACTGTTAGTAGCACTGCTTGTAGCACTGCTTGTAGCACTGCTTGTGGCATTGCTTATAGCACTGCTTGTGGCATTGCTTGTAGCACTGCTTGTAGCACTGCTTGTAGCACTGCTTGTGGCATTGCTTGTAGCACTGCTTATAGTACTGCTTGTAGCACTGCTTGTGGCATTGCTTGTAGCACTGCTTGTGGCACTGTTAGTAGCACTGCTTGTAGCACTGCTTGTGGCATTGCTTGTAGCACTGCTTATAGCACTGCTTGTAGCACTGCTTGTGGCATTGCTTGTAGCACTGCTTGTGGCACTGTTAGTAGCACTGCTTGTAGCACTGGTTGTGGCACTGCTTGTGGCATTGCTTGTAGCAATGCTTGTGGCACTGATAGCACTGCTTGTAGCACTGCTTGTGGCACTGTTAGTAGCACTGTTAGTAGCACTGCTTGTGGCATTGTTTTTAACACTGCTTTTGGCATTGCTTGTAGCACTGCTTGTAGCACTGCTTGTAGCACTGCTTGTGGCATTGCTTGTAGCACTGCTTATAGCACTGCTTGTAGCACTGCTTGTGGCATTGTTTGTAGCACTGCTTGTGGCACTGTTAGTAGCACTGCTTCTAGCACTGCTTGTAGCACTGCTTGTGGCACTGCTTGTGGCATTGCTTGTAGCACTGCTTGTGGCACTGTTAGTAGCACTGCTTGTAGCACTGCTTGCAGCATTGCTTGTGGCACTGTTAGTAGCACTGCTTGTAGCACTGCTTGTAGCACTGCTTGTGGCATTGCTTATAGCACTGCTTGTGGCATTGCTTGTAGCACTGCTTGTAGCACTGCTTGTAGCACTGCTTGTGGCATTGCTTGTAGCACTGCTTATAGTACTGCTTGTAGCACTGCTTGTGGCATTGCTTGTAGTACTGCTTGTGGCACTGTTAGTAGCACTGCTTGTAGCACTGCTTGTGGCATTGCTTGTAGCACTGCTTGTAGCACTGCTTGTAGCACTGCTTATGGCATTGCTTGTAGCACTGCTTATGGCATTGCTTGTAGCACTGCTTATAGCACTGCTTGTAGCACTGCTTGTGGCATTGTTTGTAGCACTGCTTGTTGCACTGCTTGTAGCACTGCTTGTGGTATTGCTTGTAGCACTTCTTGTGGCATTGCTTGTAGCACTGCTTGTAGCACTGCTTGTGGTATTGCTTGTAGCACTGCTTGTAGCACTGCTTGTGGTATTGCTTGTAGCACTTCTTGTGGCATTGTTTGTAGCACTGCTTATAGCACTGCTTGTAGCACTGCTTGTGGTATTGCTTGTAGCACTGCTTGTGGCACTGTTAGTAGCACTGCTTGTAGCACTGCTTGTGGCATTGCTTGTAGCACTGCTTATAGCACTGCTTGTAGCACTGCTTCTGGTATTGCTTGTAGCACTGCTTGTGGCACTGTTAGTAGCACTGCTTGTAGCACTGCTTGTGGCATTGCTTGTAGCACTGCTTATAGCACTGCTTGTAGCACTGCTTGTGGCATTGTTTGTAGCACTGGTTGTTGCACTGCTTGTAGCACTGCTTGTGGTATTGCTTGTAGCACTGCTTATAGCACTGCTTGTAGCACTGCTTGTGGTATTGCTTGTAGCACTGCTTGTGGCACTGTTAGTAGCACTGCTTGTAGCACTGCTTGTGGCATTGCTTGTAGCACTGCTTATAGCACTGCTTGTAGCACTGCTTGTGGCATTGTTTGTAGCACTGCTTGTTGCACTGCTTGTTGCACTGCTTGTAGCACTGCTTGTGGTATTGCTTGTAGCACTGCTTATAGCACTGCTTGTAGCACTGCTTGTGGTATTGCTTGTAGCACTGCTTGTGGCATTGTTTGTAGCACTGCTTATAGCACTGCTTGTAGCACTGCTTGTGGTATTGCTTGTAGCACTGCTTATAGCACTGCTTGTAGCACTGCTTGTGGTATTGCTTGTAGCACTGCTTGTGGCACTGTTAGTAGCACTGCTTGTAGCACTGCTTGTGGCATTGCTTGTAGCACTGCTTATAGCACTGCTTGTAGCACTGCTTGTGGTATTGTTTGTAGCACTGCTTGTGGCACTGTTAGTAGCACTGCTTGTAGCACTGCTTGTGGCATTGCTTGTAGCACTGCAAAACATCTATTGGGTTTTGTAAACAATCATCCTGGGTAATACTACCATACAAACTATTAAAACTCTATCCTCACATATCAGTTTCTCCATACGTATTTCAAACTCCTGACGAAGCACTAGTGACGGTGCGAAAGGCCTTGAGTTGCTCTCTCTTTCTCTCTTTTATATATATATATAATATATAATATATATATATATATATATATAATATATATATATATATATATATATATATATATATGTATATATTATATATGTACTTGAATTTTAGCTGTAACTTCTTTAAATCTTTCAAATAACCTGCAGTTAGAGGGTAGACTTCGGTGTTTATGCAAATATTATGTACGGTACATTTGCATTTTGTTCTGCCAACCGCAAGTTAGCGAAATGTGCGATTAATGGTTCGCTGTGTCTGAATTTTTGCCCGATTTAGCTGACATAAACCTCGGTCAGTATGGTGGGTTCCTTATTTGCATATTTGACAATTACAGGGGTAACTATAGTAGATTGTCCTTCTTTGTGTCTGTTATTAGAACAACTAGCAAAGTTTGGTGGTGATAGAACTGTTTAATGCGACGCTTCTTGGCGCTCCATGACTTTATTCTCTCCGATTTATTAGAGAAGATTTTATTGGGGATTTTTTTTTTACCCTCGGGGAGACAGGGGGAGGTTATCCACGTAGGATAACCTGGGGAAGGAGGGTTATCCACCCTGGATAACCCGGGGTGGGGAGGGTTATCTACCCAGGATTACCCGGGGTGGGGAGGGTTATCCACCTAGGATTACTCGGGGTGGGGAGGGTTATCCACCCAGGATTACCCAGGTTGGGGAGGGTTATCCACCCAGGATAAACCGGGGGAAGGAGGGTTTTCCACTCAATATAACCCGGGGGAGGGGTGGTTATCCACCCAGGATAACCCGGGGTGGGGAGAGTTATCCACCCAGGATAACTCGGGGTGGGGAGGGTTATCCACCCAGGATAACCCGGGGTGGGGAGGGTTATCCACCCAGGATAACCCGGGGTGGGGAGGGTTATCCACCCAGGATAACCCGGGGTGGGGAGGGTTATCCACCCAGGATAACCCGGGGTGGGGAGGGTTATCCACCCAGGATAACCCGGGGTGGGGAGGGTTATCCACCCAGGATAACCCGAGGTGGGGAGAGTTATCCACCCAGGATAACCCGGGGTGGGGAGGGTTATCCACCCAGGATAACCCGGGGTGGGGAGGGTTATCCACCCAGGATAACCCGGGGTGGGGAGGGTTATCCACCCAGGATAACCCGGGGTGGGGAGGGTTATCCACCCAGGATAACCCGGGGTGGGGAGGGTTATCCACCCAGGATAACCCGGGGTGGGGAGGGTTATCCACCCAGGATAACCCGGGGTGGGGAGGGTTATCCACCCAGGATAACCCGGGGTGGGGAGGGTTATCCACCCAGGATAACCCGGGGTGGGGAGGGTTATCCACCCAGGATAACCCGGGGTGGGGAGGGTTATCCACCCAGGATAACCCAGTAAAGTCAGTGTGTCATCAGGAACTGTCTTATTTCCGTTGTGGTTCTTTATTCTTCTCTCCTCCAGGATACCACCTACAACAGGCACCTACCCAGGTACCTACTTAGCGCTAGGTGAACGGAGACAGCAGGTGGAAGGAAACATGCCCAACGTTTCACCCGTGCCGGGAACATATTTCGGACCCTCAGTGTGTGAGCTGAGGACGCTACTGTTACTACTATTTCTACTACTGGAACAACTAATGCTCCTACTTCTGATACAACTATTACTATTTTTGCTATTTTTTTTATTCGCTGGTACTCTCCCGGCCCTACTGATGTTTCTACTTATAATATTGTTATTAATACCGCTACTACTATTAATATTACTACTACCACTATTGCTGTTACTACTACCACTATTGCTGTTACTATTACTACTACCACTATTGCTGTTACTATTACTACTACCGCTATTGCTGTTACTATTACTACTACCACTATTGGTGTTACTATTACTACTACAAACAAATATCTCTTGGAGAGACACCGTAGACTTACCTCTTGGGGAGACACCGCAGACTTACCTCTTGGAGAGACACCGTAGGCTTATCTCTTGGAGAGACACCGTAGACTTATGTCTTGGAGAGACACCGTAGACTTACCTCTTGGAGAGACACCGTAGACTTACCTCTTGGACAGACACCGCAGACTTACCTTTTGGAGAGACACCGTAGACTTACCTCTTGGAGAGACACTATAGACTTACCTCTTGGACAGACACCGCAGACTTACCTCTTGGAGATACACCGCAGACTTACCTCTTGGAGCGACAACGCACTTACCTCTTGGAGAGACACGCAGACTTACCTCTTGGAGAGACACCGCAGACTTACCTCTTGGAGAGACACCACAGACTTACCTCTTGGAGAGACACCACAGACTTACCTCTTGGAGAGACACCGCAGACTTACCTCTTGGAGAGAGACCGCAGACTTACCTCTTGGACAGACACCACAGACTTACCTCTTGGAGAGACACCACAGACTTACCTCTTGGAAAGGGAGACACCGTAGGCTATGTTATCGGAGCATCCTGACCACTGGAAGCCGTGCTGCGTGACGCCTCTCACAGATCTGTCACAGCCACAGTCATCCAGCTCCCCCGAGGAGCAGCGGCGTGTGATGGCGTGCGCCACGCCTGCCGACGAGATGGCGTGCACGAAGGCCGCCTCCCGGGTACCTGCACGGTGAACCACCCCTACAAGTCATCACTTCTCCGTGCCAGAAAGTCAACCTTAAGAATCTATCATAGTTACCCATTAAAAATCTCGATGCCAGAAAGTGAACTTGAAAAATTGGTCATAGTTAACCCCTTAAAAACCTGTCATAGTTAACCCCTTAAAAACCTGTCATAGTTACCCCCTTAAAAACCTGTCATAGTTACCCCCTTTAAAAATCTCTATATTTTTCAAATAATTTTTGAGCAATTCAAGGTAAGAAATTCACTTGCCCGGGGCTTTCACTTACCTTGGGGCACTATAGGGTATGGTCCCACGATACCCTCTCCACCTTTGGACCTTTTTCGTGATTTTTTGCGCGATTTCCGTCCTCTGCGCTGGGTGTAGGAGGGAGGCAGGGCCGGGGAGGTGTTCTGGAAGGGGTGAGGAGCGGCGGGGTGGGGTTCCTCTCCCCCTGCCTTCATTACCTCGGGTTGTGAAGTGACAGGTACTGCTCTTTCTGTCTTGTTGCTCACCGTCACCAGTTCTGTAAGATGACAGGCAGGTTAGTGTCTGTAAAATGACAGTCAGGTTAGTGTCTGTAAGATGACAGGAAGGTTAGTGTCTGTAAGATGACAGAAAGGTTAGTGTCTGTAAGATGACAGGAAGGTTAGTGTCTGTAAGATGACAGGAAGGTTAGTGTCTGTAAGATGACAGGAAGGTTAGTGTCTGTAAGATGATAGGAAGCTTAGTGTCTGTAAGATGACAGGAAGGTTAGTGTCTGTAAGATGATAGGAAGCTTAGTGTCTGTAAGATGATAGGAAGATTAGTGTAAAAAAAATGACAGGCAGGTTAATGTGAATGGGTGTGTGTGTCTCAGGTTTGTGGGCGGTGGCTTAACCTCCACCACTAATTGTCCTGAGTGGTCCACACGGGCTTAGTTGGTTATTAAAGTTTAAAGACTATCTCCTACACGAGGGTCATTAAGGTTGCATATCACTTGTCCACCACTAGTCAAGAATACTTAAGTTCCTAAAATAGTGCTTCAAGTAATCACTCAGTGTTGAAACACTGAGAGACATACACCTCTCGATGTATATACACTGTGGGTTTAATGTTTCAAAAAATACAACCCATTTCCCTCTGTCCCTAAGATATCTGAGCACTGCAACAGGCCTACTTAGTGATATTTTCCACTCAACGACGACTGAAATATAAATTAACAGTCAGTTAAACGTCCGGGGCCCAAGACTGTTCAACCGCTTCCCACCAGCCATTAGGAGCATTACCAATAGACCCTTGGTTGTCTTCAAGATGGAGGTGGACAGATCCCAAAATGGGGCCGGACACCTGGTTCGTACGGGACGGCGGCGGCCAGCATAAACCCATAGAAAAGGGCCCTATCCACCGGAGGTGTTTGGGGACCGGGCTGGGGGGGCGTTACCCCCAATGCCTCCGGGTAGATTCCAGGTACAGGGTACAACTTTTAAAGTAGGGTTCATCACGGAACAATAAGAAAACTGGTAATAAATGTCATACCCAAAAGGGTATCCGTAATGAAAAAGAACACCATGACCATAAAGTGGATAGTGTAAAAAGTGATGAAAAATTTAAGACACGTGTGAAACATCTGAAAACCTTTTATTGTAGACGTTTCGCTCCCCAAATGGCTTTATCAATACAAATTCAAAGAAAAAAAAAGACATTAAAACTCATTCAAAAGCGAAGTAACCATCCCCACCCTTTGGAGTTAGGAAGAGCACCGAACTTGTGAACGTAAAGTGACACCTTTGGGTCAGTTTCCAGAGTTATTCTATTTACAAAGCTTTTTAGAAACAACTAAATAAAGTCAAATTTGGGAGAGCCTATTTAAATAAACGCAGAAAAAAAATGGGGGAGGGCACCCAAGGGGACTTTAAATCTGAACGGGCCAGGAAGGGGGCACTACAGTTTCTACAACAAAGAAGTTATGAAGAATTTAAAGCCCGGACACTGAAAGCAGCCTGGCGGTGGGGCACTGCATGCAATATGCAAACAAAAGATCGGGAGTGGCATCACACCAGATGTTCGCAAAAAATCTATAACAAGCAAAATTCGCAAAATGCAAGAACCCCCTTTCTGTCAGAAACCTTTTAAATTTTAGAAAAATATCTTGGAGCGTGGGCTCCTGCATGCAACCGTGCTGCTTAAACTACAAAAAACAAGAGAAGATCTAAGGTTTGAACAAGACTGGTGCTGGAACTGAGGGGGAAATTTTCTAACAAAAAGGAAAAAAAGCACACTGCACCACTTTTACAAATGGTAAAAAAAAACTCACACACACACACCGCGCGCGCAAACCGTAATGTTCTCAAATATAAATAAAACGATGGAGGAAGAAAAGTAAAAAGCGCATGCCCGGGCCTATATTTTAAAACCCTACGAAAATATGACATTTAAGGCCAAAACCGTGTAAATTAAAATGAAAAAAATGCATTTGCAGACTGGCACCTACAACCCTTTTTAAAGACTGTCCCCAGAGCGTTCACTTGTGTCAAAGATCGACCTTTTTTTCCTTGATAGCTTGCTGGGTAGTAAATTAAAGCCCCTATTGACCTTAGTTTTGGCATAATTAATGGTTCTCGACTTTTATAGGTTTCTGATAGTAATTAATTTCCACTGACTTTGTGGTTGCCGGGTGTAAATTTAAAGTTCCTACTGACTTTGTAGGTTGCTGGGTAGTAAATTAAAGTGTCCTACTGATTTGATAGGTTGCGGATGTAATTAAGTGTCCTATGACTTTGATGGTTGCTGGATAGTAATTAAGTGCCTTACTGACATTACTAGGGGGGGTACTGGGTGTAATTAATGTGTCACAATAAGTCTATCTTATTCATTTAAATTTTACTAAAAACATAGATAACGTGGGACTATACACATTAACCCCGTTTTTTTCCCTCTTCAGAATTTTAAATTTAAAATTAGGAGTTGTTTATGGTTTGGTTATATAAAACGATGTTACTAACATTATAATATTTTGTGGATAATAAATAATTTATCAGCCATCTCAAGGTCATTTCTGTCATTAAATAACCAATAGTATTACGAAAAAAAAACAAATACTGTTTAGTTATTTGCACCCTATATAACGTAGATCTAAATAATTACGTAACAGGTATGTTTTTTTTTTAATTTGTTCAAGGTATACAAGAGTTTTAACATAAATGGGAAGTCTGAAAATGAGAGAAAATAATGTTGGTGGGTTATTTGGGTTTAAAGCCTATTGAGTACACGAGGCTCGTGAAAGCTACGAGTCCCTTGTTCATCACTGGTTAAGAATATTTTAATACCTAAAATAAGGACTAAAACTTTCCTTGTATATACTCCCAGGGTATATACATTGTAAATACAGTGTATATACACACTCTCGGTGTATATATCTTTGCAAGAATCGAGTTATTAGTAAAAGATTTTCACGAGAGTTGTGTGGCATGCAGCTCCGAGTCACACATTACAAACTTTGCAAAGATGTGCGGTTTTTTTGGTGTTATTTTCATTAGCATTACTGTTATCTCTGTATTTTCTTCCAGAATATTTGAAGCAGAATATCTTACGTTTACACATGTCTCGTAGTATACAAGAAAAAAGAATCTTGATAAATTAGACGGTTAATTTGCATTAGGTGGAAGGTGAGGTGAGGTTCCACAATGTGTACGACCGCAGGTGATCTGTGTCCCGTGTTTACATTATCTCTCTGAAAAAGTTTATATAAATAGTGACCTACTGGGATTTCATAGCGTGTAGCCACACGTAAACAATTCTGAGGTGATGAACATCAGTCTGACGGGAAAGAATCTTATGAAGGTAGTCTGATATGAACGGTTTATTGATTAAATCTTACGAGGCTAGCAAGTGTTATTCGTAGTTTGGTGACGTTATTACTGTTACTTGTGTGTATATATCGTTATTATTAACCGGTGAGGTACTAGAGTGTGAGTTTACGTAGTGTGTGGTGAGGGAAGCAGCAGTGTAGGTACCTCTAGTATAGTGGTAGTTGTAATAGTGTTATTATCACTGAGAGCTGTGATAACTATCTTGGGGTGTACTCACCTATTTGTGGTTGCAGGGGTCGAGTCTTAGCTCCTGGCCCCGCCTCTTCACCGGTTGCTACTGGGCCCTCTCTCTCCCCGCTCCATGAGCTTTATCAAACCTCGTCTTAAAACTGTGTATGGTTCCTGCCTCCACTACGTCATTTTCTAGGCTATTCCACTGCCTTACAACTCTATGACTGAAGAAATACTTCCTAATATCTCTCTGACTCATTTGTGTCTTCAACTTCCAATTGTGGCCTCTTGTTTCTGTGTCCCCTCCCTGGAACATCCTGTCTTTGTCCACCTTGTCTATTCCACGCAGTATTTTATGTGTGTGTGTGGTGTACTCACCTATTTGCTCACCTATTTGTGGTTGCAGGGGTCGAGTCCCCAGCTCCTGGCCCCGCCTCCCTTCGCTGATTGCTACTAGGTCCCCCTCTCTCCCTGCCCCATGAGCTCTATCATACCCCGCTTAAAACATGTATGGTTCCCGCCTCCACTACGTTTACTTTTCTAGGCTATTCCACGGCCTGACTACTCTATGACTGGGGAAATTTCTTCCTAACATCCTTGATTCATCTGATCTTCAACTTCCAATTGTGACCTCTTGTGTCTGTGTTCCATCTCTGGAACATCCCGCTTTTGTCCACCTTGTCTATTCCGCGCAGTTTTTATGCCGTTATCATGTCTTTCCCCGACCCTCCTGTCCTCCAGTGTCGTCAGCCGATTTCCCTCAACCTTTCTTCGTAGGACAAATCCCCGTAGCTCTGGGACTAGTCCCTTTTTTGCAAACCTTTGCACTTTCTCTAATTTCTTGACGTGCTTGACTAGGTGTGGATTCCAAACGGTCTGCATACTCCAGTATGGGCCTGACGTAAATGGTATACAGAGTCTTAAACGAATCCTTACTGAGGTATCGGAACGCTATCCGTAGGTTTGCCAGGCGCCCGTATGCTGCAGCAGTTATCTGATTGATGTGCGCCTCAGGAGATATGCTCGGTGTTATACTCACCCCCAGATCTTTTTCCTTGAGTGAGGTTTGCAGTATTTGGCCATCTAAACTATATTGTGTCTGCGGTCTTCTTTTCCCTTCCCCAATCTTCATGACTTTGCATTTGGCAGGTTTAAATTCAAGGAGCCAGTTGCTGGACCAGGCTTGTAGCCTGTCCAGGTCTCTTTGTAGTCCTGCCTGATCCTCATCCGATTTGATTCTTCTCATTAACTTCGCATCATCTGCAAACAAGGACACTTCTGAGTCTATCCCTTCCGTTATGTCGTTCACATATACTAAGAACAGCACAGGTCCTAGGACTGACCCCTGTGGAACCCCGCTTGTCACAGGCGCCCACTCTGACACCTCGTCGCGTACCATGACTCGTTGTTGCCTCCCTGTCAGATATTCTCTGATCCATTGGAGTGCCTTTCCTGTTATGTGTGCCTGATCCTCTAGCTTTTGCAGTAACCTCTTGTGAGGAAC